TTAAGGTCCAAAATGTAAATATAGATTCACAGAGTCCAAGGCCAGAAGGGACCATTGTGATCATCTAGTCTGACCTCCTGCAGAACCCAGGCCAGAGACCTGTATGGGCTCAATACAGCCGTTGTTCTTAGACTGCACAAGCAGCTCTTAATGGACAGGTTCAGGACCCATTGTTGCTGGATCAGGCCCTTTGATCGTAGGAGTTTGCACCTTCCCTGTGTATGTGCAATACCTAGCACATTGCGGGTGATACTTGTGGTCCCATTTTTTTTCCCAGCACAGATGGCAAAGCGCCACCTACCATGTTGCCAGGACCATTTCCTGCTGTGATCTGGCATTTCTATGGAGATATCTCATCCAAGTTCCGATCTGGTCCAGCCCTGCCTTGGCTTGGGACGAAGGCACCGCCCAAGGGGCATGAGAGACGAAAGGGGACAAAGGAGAATGAAATGGGAAAAACTCCTACCTCAAAAGTGAAGGGGTAGGCATGCTCGCCGAGCTTCTTAATCAGCCGCTCCTGGAGTCGCGTCAGGGGTTTCTTCTCCTCAGGGACCGGGGGGAAGGCCTGGATGTTGGCCACAAACAAGTCCTTCCGAAAGGTCAATCCCAGCACGTCCAGATCCTCCCGTCCGTAGCGGAAGGCGCACGTCAGCGTGACAAAGACTGCGGGGGACAGAAGGTATCAAACGGGACAGATCAGCAACAACCCTTTCACCAGCGCTAGCATCAGTGACAGGCAACTGGCAGACAAGTTGCTCTGCCCAAGTGCCCACAGGCAACATGTGGCACAACTGGGATTGGAGCCTACATCTCCTGCCGCCTACTTGACTGGCCTAGCCACAAGAGCAGGCCCATAAATGAGGATGGTTCTCCTGATTCCCATGGGTGTAACAGAGGAGGGTCAGGGCCACGGGCAGCTGCTAGCATGGCACGTTTGCGTGGGTTTGATGACAGATTTGGGTGCAGACGTGCTTTCATGTGTGTGCGGGGGTGGGGGGATGAGGAGGGGAACAGACGGAGCTGGCAGTCGAGACACAAGGGCGGGAGCCTGGATTTAATTCCACGAGTCGAGGGGCGTTTGCATCCGTCACCTCGTACGTCTCGCAGTACCACAGCCACACACAGACAATGACACGATCACACCAAGCACCCAGGAGAAATGACTCAGACTAGGGGGATGGGACCCAGCCGCTGCGCTCCAAATCCGGGCGGCTGTCTCCAGTCTCACCGGCCCTGCCGCATGCAGCAAGGCCCGAAGGCCTACATAACAGACTCTCCTGCCGCGCTGTCCCGCTCGGGTGACGGTGGGAGGCAGGAGGGTTCGGAATGAGTTCGACCCCTAGATCAGTCTCTTCCCCAGTCAAACATGTCACTGGCAAAGCTGGGCCAACATCACCTTGTTCATTAGCTTGGACATTAGATCCCCACCCTTCTGCTGCTCTTGTCTCTCGTAGATTGCAGAGCAGGGACTGTCTCTAGCTGCGTGCTCGGTATCTCTGCTCCAGCACAATAAGTGTTTCCGTTACAGTCATGGCTAGAGAGCCCGAGACGGAGAGCGCTGCGTCGGCCTTGCCTTTTGCCCACAAAAGCCCCGAGCCCAGCTGCCATGCAATATAAAACGGACCCCGCACAATCCGGGAACACGAAGGGCGAAAGAACAAACCCCAGGTGCTAGTCACTGCGCTCAGATACTCTGGAGATGGGCGCGCTGTGTAAGACCCTGAAGAGAACAGACTAGTGCTAGGCACTGTACGCACGTCCTACGAGACAGTCCCTACTGCAGACAGCTTGCAATCTAAGAAGACACGTAAAAGGGGGTTAAAAGGAAATACCCTCCCTTGTCCTGTAGCACCCCCTTCTGGCTGAATGTGGTGCTGCAGGCACTCCCTGCCTCAGTTTCCACCTCCGCAAGGCTTTCTGGCTCTCCTGTGGGGTTCATAGGGCTCAGCTCTCCAAGTTCAGTTCCCTTTTGGGGAGCAAAAGTCCAAACAAACAAGAAGTTCTTTTGATCCACTTGGGTTCGTCAACCCTCCCTCTGTGCTCAGCCCCAGCCCGTTCTGAGCTACCTTTGCATTTCTGGGCTCTGGGAAGAGTGCTGACTCCCCGGCTGCTTCCCTTGAGTACAACCCCCACCCCCCGACCCTGTTTCAGGGTCTTCCACGGGCACCCAACGTGCTGCCTGCAGTTCCTCCTTTACACGGAGTTTTCTTAGCCCTTTTAAAGAAATCCCCCCGTTTGGGAGGAGAGGGGGTGCTCATCTGGTACAGGTAGGGCTGGGACAGGCCTGGGGAAGGCAGGGTGCAGGGACAGAATTAATCCTGTGGCAGCAAGATCCAGGCAGAGACAGCAAACAAGGCAGGACGCTCCTACATAAAGAAAGCCCAGGGAGCAGGGTAGGCTGCTGTGGGAGGGAGCTCTGAGACAGGGTTGGGGGTTTGACACAGAACTACTTCCACAGCCCCAAGGGGTGGAAGGATCATTCGGATTTGCCGGGACTTTCATTTGGACCTTTTGGTTACCCTGAACTTTGTGACTTGGCTGGACGGCCGAGCCCCAGAAGACCCAGTGAGAGGCAGGCAGCCTGTAGGAGGCGCTAGGGCCAAGGACACCAGTGACATTACACACACACAGACACAAGGGGGCGCTCCAAGGGTGAGCGTGCCCCATCGCACACCCCCGTTTCACAGACAGGGAAGTGAGAGGTTGAGTAACTTGTCCAGGAGCACAGGGGAAGTCCCTGGCAGACCTGGAACTCAAACCCAGTTCTCCCCTGAGTTCTAGTCAAGTGCCTTAACAACCAAACCGGCCTCCTTCTTTGTGACCCAGGGCGCAGTTTTCCAGCTGAATGAAATGCTTTGTACTCGCCAGTCTTCACAATCAAGACCCCCTAAGAGAACAGAATTCTAGTCTTGAGGTTTCCTCCCGTCGCCACATGGGACCTTTCGGAGATTGGTTATTTGGAGGCAATCCCCCCCCCGAACACCCCTGTTCTGCTAGGCTGAGATTCTCTGTGATTTCTTCTAGTCGAGGTCCTGAACTCGGCTGCTAATCCCGAATGAGCCCTGCGCACCGGGTGCTCTCCTTGCTCTCGGGAGATCCCTGGTTCCTGCTTTGGCGCAGCAGATAACTGACCGACCTGCACCCCCCAGCGATATTTAGGAACCGTGTCTGTGTTTTCCTGTTGCCGTTTAAAGCAAGCACATTTTCAATGGGGCTCCTGTTCCTTGCTGGTCAGTGTAACCTGCGGGCTTGGAGAAGGGGACTGGAAAAGCGCATTAGGATGCCCTGGCAGAACAGGGGAGAGGCTGTTTTCCCCATGTGGGTTTTGAAGCCCCAGTTAAACACTGCAGAGTCAGCTGGAACCAAAGGCTAAGCAGTTACCTTTCCTTTCTTTTAAGTACTCTGGATCGACCAACACGACGCCATCTGAAAGAGAAGACAGGCAGAATTAGGAGGGCAACTCAGAGCACGAACTGGTCTCCCTTGCATTGGGGCGGGAGATATCTCCGGTGTGTCCCGTAAACACAATTCCCTGGCATCCCACAACAACTCGTCCTACAGATTATGAAAGGACGGGTCTGCCTGTTCCCCACCGGCCTCACGCACCATCTCCATCCATCTCTGTCATGCCCCCTCTGTCCCACATGGGCCCCGTCTCTGATCCAGCTCATTCCCCTTCGGTCCAACTCTCTCCACCCCACCAGAACCAGATCTAGTGATCCACAAGGACTTTACAAGCATTAGGCCTCACAGGCTGTGAGGACGGGCAGTATTATTCTCAACTTTGCAGATTGAGAAACTGAGGCACGGGGAGATTTTTTTTTTTGAGGCCCAGATCTTCAGTGGTATTTAGGTGCCTAACTCCCATTGATTTCTTTGGGAGTTAGGAGCCTAAATACTTTTGAGGATCTGGGCTTCAGTGACTTGCCAGAGGTCTCACAAGTCACAGCTGGGATTAGAACCAAGGAGCCTTTGACACCCAGCCCTGTACTCACTGGCGAGTGCCTCGAGAGGCGTTTCTCTGCAGTAGCTCGTCTAGGAGACTATGGCCCGCCTCTTTCTTGGCTGTGGATTCAAGCCCATTTCTTCGAGCCCTGGACTGGCTGCAACCTACCAAACGGAGGATGGCTGCTCCCCAGAGGCAGCTCCCATTGTGAGTTGTACCAGGGCTGCTTCTTGAGCTTCCCAGGGTTCTGCCAATTCTATCATTGTGCGAGGCTCCTTGCCGGCTGGACAGCCCGTGACGGAGGCACCGCGATTTACATGCCCAACCCCCTTTATAGCGAATACTCCAGGAAAAACGTCCCTCTACATGACCCTCGTGAGCTCGAGGGCGTTTACCCTCTCCTTGCTCTCACTAACTTTGCTGATGGTTAAACACACACCAGGCCAGGCCTTGGGGGTCTGAAGCAGGCCAGAGCTACCACGGAAACCCAAGAGAGCTTGCACCAACCATCATCTTGGTCATCATCAAGGACTGAACTTGGGACTTCCTGAGCGAGAACCATGAGAGGCTAATGCTTGAGCCAAAGGACTGTAAGTCCATGGGAGGGACCTGTAGCAGCGTCAGACCCTCTGTGGACCAGGCCGCAAGGGGGACATGTAACCCACACGGAACAGAGGGGTGCATAAAGACTAAACAGGAAAGCCCAGATCCCCAAAGGTATTTACATGCCCACCTCCCATTGATATCAGTGGCAGCGAGGTGCCTTGAGGATCTGGACCAAAGTGAATAAAGGGGCGGCTCCGGAGTAGAGAAAAGGGTCCTCTCTGCTAATGGGCATTAGGAAGCCATGTGACAAATGTTGTCTCGAGCAAGCTTTGTGTACTGAGCTTCTGCTCCCCAGCCGGGGGGGGAAGTTACCCTCCCACCCGCACAACACGGAGAGCTGCGAGCACTTGGCCCAAAGAGAATCGAGTCCCGTTGGCGAACGAACCCACTGAGGCCACCCACCGGACAACTGCTCTCCTCCCAGCAGCAGAGATGAGCCAACTGCCCTCACAGCTCCGCAGAATGCAGGGTTGGGGGGAAAGGGTTGGCCATAGCAGAACAAGAGCCCATCCAGGCCTGGTGTCCCTTCTGCAGGCCTGGTCTAAAGGGAGGAAACACTCCTGCTGGCCTCAGCGGGCTTTGGATCAGGCCCTGGGACAACAGTCCTAGATATGCATTAGCTACACAACACTGCACAGGTGCAACGGGAAGGCTTTCTCCCTGAGCCCTGCAGCTGATCCGTTTGTGCCTTCCTCATTTTGACTCCGGCTAACTTAGAACACTGTCAAATCATCGTCCACCAATCCCAAGGCCAGAGGGACCATTAGATCCTCTCGTCTGACCTCCTGCGGAACACAGGCCAGAGAATTTCACCCAGTTCCCTCTGCCTTGGGCCCGTCACTGGGGCTGGACTAAAGCAGCTCCCAGACAGGCAGCCAGTCTGGATCTGAAGGCGTCAAGAGACGAATCCAGTCCTTCCCTTGGGGATTTGCTCCAGTGGTTAATCACTGTTAAACAGTCGCACCTTCTCTGCTAGACTAGAGAGCCCTAGAGAACCCAGGACCCATGCAGGCTGTTTGGCTCCTACGATCGTCTCATTAGTACTCTGCGGCAGCAGGTTCCCTGGGTTAACACGCTGCACCCAAACCCTGCCTTGTCTCCTCTGTAAATCGGTTGCCCCTTCCTTAATTCACTCCTAACAAAGCACTGCTGGGGAGGAAGGCGGGGGCAGGACACTAACGGAGGGCAGGAGCCTGGGAAGAAACGCGGTGAGATGTAGGCAGGACCGATCTGTGCCATGCCAGGATGGTGAGGACAAGCAGGCTGAATTGGGAGGAGGGCTTAGGGACACAACCCAGAGAGACCTTCCCCTCCAGTTCTGGGACAGATTCACGGCGTGAAGGCGTCTGCTTGCTGGTTGTGGTTTGGGGAAGGTGGTGGTGTCCTCAGAACATCCCCAGCTGGGGGTTTGGCCCTGTCCCTCTCTGCGCTCATCATTCCTCCCTCGAAACCTCTCCTGAGCCACACAGCTAGCCAAGCTCATCTCCTCTGCGCCTCTTCCTGCGAGAGCTGGAATCGCAGAACCCACCAGGATCACTTGTCACCAGCCCTTGGTGTGCCTTATCTCCACACAGGGCCCAAGCCTACGAGCCGAAAGTGCAGGGGAGCTTGGGTCACGGCCCTGCACTGGGACTCAGGAGAGCGTTCCCAGCTCTGCCACAAACTCCCTGGGTGAGACCCTGAGCAGGCCCCTTCATCGCTCTGTGCCTCAATTTCCCAGCTGTAAACCAGCGACCGGGATCCTTCTTTTCTCCCACCCTCTGTCCATTTTGTCTGCTTAGCCGGCAAGCTCCATGGGAACAGGGGCTGTCTCCCACTCGGTATCTGTGCAGTGCCCAGTTCAAAGGGGCCCTGATCTCAGCTGGAGCTAGGGCTGGCCACAACATTCCATTGTACCTTTCTGGCTGGCAAACTGGGCTTGCCTTGCAGAGGGAGCGCCTGCTTTCTTTCCTAGAGGTTTGATTTTTTATCAGACCACCAACCACCGGAGTGTTTTCGGGTTTTTGATGAAAAGTCCATTTTTTCTGCTGAACAGTTTGATGAAAACTATTCCTGCCCCCCCCCCCTCCCCATTTTCATCAGAAATCTCAGCCATGGGGCTTGCTGCTTCGAGCAGCTTCACCCAGGTGTGCTAAGCACTTTACCCAGCAGGACGGCAAACTCCTTGGGGCAGGATCATAGCCTGGCCTGTCTGTAAAGTCCTATGCGTGTTTATGGTGCTGACGGAGGAGGTGACGATGGACACGGCAGGAAACGGCTGATGCCCACCGCCAGGAGATGCTGTGGAGTACCTCCGGGCTATCAATCTGGCACTACCCATTCTAGGAAAGTGTTGCAACGCACACGAACAAAAGCAAACAAACATGTCAGTCTGCGAAGACCCTGTGCTCCAATCTGTGACTAATAAGGACAGCCATGTGCTGAAATTAATTAGTTTGTTGGGGGGAAGAGTAGGGGAGCTACATGAAACCACAGCAGAAGAATCTGTATCAACAAACATTAAATTGGATTAAGCAATGTTAGATTCGACGCATGGATGAGTCAGGTTTACGACTTCCCCGGGAGGAGAAATTAGCAATTTGAAAAGGGTTTTTTTCCCCTAGCTAAAGTAATCAAAGGCAGGACTGTAATTAAATATTTAAAAAGCCACCACGTGCAAGAGGAGAGAAAATGGAGAAGCAATGCTCTCTGCTACTCTGTGTAATTAATCCGGGGAAGCTAAGTGCATAATAAAAATAATAACGATAATTAGAAATTGACTCTAGTGCACGTTCCCGGGTATTGGTGACGGGACGGGAAGCGTCTCAAGACAAACGGTGTAACTTGACTCTGACTTTACTGTGTAAAGAGCTATGTGTCTATCCTGAAAACACATGTTTAGCGTCTGTATCAAAGTATTAGTCACTAGCACAGGTGAAAAAACAGGGTTTCCTCCAGAAATGTCTCTCTCTTGGCCGGGATTTAAAATAGGCACAGTGAGCATAGTGTTTTTAGTGGATGCCTGTTTAGATACAAAGTCGAATGTTAACAAAGAGATGTGAAGTCCACAGGGAAGGAGCACAAAGAAAAAGAAACGAGCCACGTGAGGTTATCCTGTGTCTGAGTAAAGGCAATGAACTTGGGGGGCATTTCTAGAAGGCAAAGAGGACACCCCTTGATCCAGCACCTCGGAAGTAAAGGCACGGTGCGTTTGCATTCATGAAACCAGTCTCAGCCAGCCTTGGTTGAAAACGCTGAAGACGACTCTTGAGGAGCAAATGTCTTTCGACAGGAGGGTCACCGGGTAGTTAAGTTTAGTCTCTAGAAAGCATGTTTTTCATAGATTCATAGATTCTAGGACTGGAAGGGACCTCGAGAGGTCATCGAGTCCAGTCCCCTGCCCGCATGGCAGGACCAAATACTGTCTAGACCATCCCTGATAGACATTTATCTAACCTACTCTTAAATATCTCCAGAGATGGAGATTCCACAACCTCCCTAGGCAATTTATTCCAGTATTTTCTTTGAGATGTAACCATTGGTTTACAACATCCTCATCCACTAGCTCCTGAACCTCAGGTCTTTGACAATAAACTTCTTCTTGTTTTCACTCTGCATCTAGCTCAGGGCTGTGGTGTGGAGCAAAGTGCTGGTCCCGGGTTGAATCTGACTAGCTGGCATGTCCTGTTCCTTTGGGAACAGCCGGCCTGGCAGCTCTGTGAGTGTCCAGTGAGAAGGGGCTGGGCACTGCAGGGAACGCTCCGAGGCCGC